GGGAGGGGACAGAGACAGACAGCAAGACACACAGAGACAGAGGGACAGCGGGAAAGCGGAGAGGAAAAGAGGAAACAGAAGGAAAGAGACAGGAGAGAGAGGGGAGAAGGGAGAGAGAGAGACTGGAGAAGGCAGAGCAGAGAGAAGAGGGCAGAGACAGAGCAGAGACAGCCGGGCCCGCAGGGAGTCTGGGGGTGACTGGGAGACCTCTGAGGGTGACTGGGAGACCTCTGGGGGCGACTGGGAGTCCTCTGGGGGCGACTGGGAGACCCCGGGCGGGGAGGCCCATGGGGAGGCAGGCGCTGGATCGCTGAGTGTCTGCACCGGCTCTCCCTCCCCGCCGCCTCCCGCCCCCGGGGCCCCGCCGCCCAGGCGCCGGCTGGCACGGCCGGGCGATGGCGGACTCGTGCCGGAACCTCACGTACGTGCGGGACTCGGTGGGCCCGGCCACCAGCGCCCTCATGTTCGTGGCGGGCGTGGCGGGCAACGCGCTGGCGCTGGGCATCCTGGGCGCGCGGCGGCGCGCGCGGGCGCGGCCGTCGGCCTTCGCCGTGCTGGTCACCGGGCTGGCGGCCACCGACCTGCTGGGCACGTGCTGCCTGAGCCCCGCCGTGTTCGCCGCCTACGCGCGCAACAGCTCGCTGCTGGGCCTGGCGCGCGGCCGGCCGGCGCTGTGCGACGCCTTCGCCTTCGCCATGACCTTCTTCGGCCTGGCGTCCACGCTCATCCTGTGCGCCATGGCGGTGGAGCGCTGCCTGGCGCTCAGCCACCCGTACCGCTACGCGCGGCTGGACGCGCCCCGCTGCGCCCGCCGCGCCCTGCCCGCCGCCTACGCCTTCTGCGCCGCCTTCTGCGCGCCGCCGCTGCTCGGCCTGGGCCGCCACCAGCAGTACTGCCCGGGCAGCTGGTGCTTCGTCCGCCTGCGCGCCCCCGCGCCCGCCGGCTGCGCCTACTCGCTGGCCTACGCCGGCCTCGTGGCGCTGCTGCTGGCCGCCATCGTGCTGTGCAACGCCTCGGCCACGCTCAGCCTGTGCCGCATGCACCGCCAGCAGCGCCGCCACCAGGGCGCGCTGGCCCCGGGCCCCGGGCGCGAGGACGAGCTGGGCCACCTGGTCCTGCTGGGCCTCATGACGGGCATCATGGCCGTGTGCTCCCTGCCACTCACGGTGAGTCCCCCCTATTCCCTCCCCCCAACCCCAGGCAGCCCGGGTGGGTACAGGGGGTGGAGGGTGGGGTGGTGGGTATGGGGGTGCCCAGCTCCGGGTTCCCTTGATGGCGCCCATTTCGCGGATGGGGACACGGAGGCAGCTGTCAGACAGTGGCAGGCTTCCGGGAGGAGCCTCTCCTCCTGACGTGTGCTTCTGCTCCACTGGCCTCCTCCTGACCCCTGGGACACCCCCCACCCCCTTCCGGATTTCCTGTCCCCACATGCTCAGGGGCTCCCCGGCCTCCCCTGGCCCCGGTGAGGAGAAGACTCCCCTTCATGGGGCCGTTGCCCTGTGGCTGACCCCTCTGCGGGCATTGACAAGGAACCGGTCCGAGTTCTCACCGTGAGGGGCAGTGGCTTCTGCCCACGATGGCAGAGTCCGGTCTGCACCTCAGGCTCCGTGGGTTCCAGAGTGTGAGGACCCCCCCCCCCAATTCCCCCACCCAGACACCGGGGCTCCCTCCGCCCAGTGCCACCCTCTATCTGCCATGACCCCTGCCCCCCCCCTCCGTGCCCGCCCAGCCTCTCCAGGGTGGAAGCAGGCAGACCCGTCTGCTGGCAGCTGGTCACCCCTCTGTCCTCTGGCCTCGCTCTCTTTCTGTGGAACCCCGGGCTGAGCTGTGGAGAAGCACCCCAACTTCAGGGGGTTACCGAGGATGCGGGGACACGCACAGCCTGCCGGGGCCGCCCACACGGCCGTCTCTCCCTCTGGGCCTCCGGGCTGCTTCCTGGGGCTTGCTATCCCCCCGCTTCCCGGATGCCTCGCCTCGTTTCTTACTTTTCATCTTATTTCCTTCCCCTTCTGCCGGCCCTCCTCCCTCCTGCCCCCTGGGCGAGCAGGCGGGTGGAGGAGGGTGAGGAGGGTGGTGGGTGGTAGGCGATGGGTGGTAGGTGGGCACCGGCTGACACCCCCCCTCCCTCCCGCAGATCCGTGGCTTCACCCAGGCCATCGCCCCCGACAGCAGCGAGATGGGGGACCTCCTTGCCTTCCGCTTCTACGCCTTCAACCCCATCCTGGACCCCTGGGTGTTCATCCTCTTCCGCAAGGCCGTCTTCCAGCGCCTGCGGCTCTGGCTGTGCCGCCTGCGCCCCCGGCCGGCCCGCGGCCGCCCCCCGCACCCCCTCTCCCAGCACCCCGGCTCCCAGCCCGCCCCCGGCGGGAAGGACCCCGGGGGGAAGGAGGGCAGCCCGGTGCTGCTGCCGGCCTGGGGCGAGGCCCAGCGGCCGGGCGGCGCCCTGGACACGGGAACGCTGTCCAAAGAGGAGGCCTCAGCCGCCTGCTCGCTCTGCTGACATCCCGGCGTCCGGGGGCCTCCTGCCCGTCTCCTGGGACAGCGGCCGGACAGTCCGGGGAAGCTGGCAGCTGCTGGTGGACAAGCAGAGCGGTGGACCCTGGAGCTCTGGCCTGCCAGGCAGGGCCGTCACCCCTGAATCTCTGGGGGGGTGGGGGCGGGGGGGAGGGTTGGGAGGGGTGGTCAGCTGCTGTTCTCCTCCAGGGTGGCCACACCAGCTGTGGGAGGAGAGGAGGGAGAGAGGGAGCACAGAGCAGTTCCCTCAAAATGACTGATGGCTCCCGGCCGCCCATCCATCTCACTGTCTAAATATTTGGAAGGCGGGAGGGTTTCCAGAGCTCCCTGCTCTGGTGTCTGTTAGGGTCAGTGTTCCTGCCGGTCCCCACCCATTCAGGCTGCCCCCGACCCCTGGGGCGGAGGGGGGGGGGCCCTGCCCTCTCCCAGTCTCTCCCCGAGCCACGCCCTCTGCCTCCCTCACTCTGATTCTCATCCCCCACCTAGCCCGGAGCTCCCCTCCCCAGGAGGGGCTGGGGAAGGGGAGCCGCCGGAGGGGGTGGGTGACACTGCTGGGCGTGTGCCGGGAACTTGGTGTGGCTCCGTGGTCAGGTCATAAAACTCGGACTGGGGAGGCACGGGCGTGGTGTGTGAATCCCAGGCACGGCCCAAGAATGCAGACCTGAATCCTGTGCTTGTCCTGAGAGCTTCACAAAAATGTCATTCATTCATTCTTCATTCATTCATTCTTCATTCATTCATTCATTCATTCACTCAGCAAGTAGTGGGCGCTGACTCTGCCAGGTGCCGGGGACACAGACCAGTCTCTGCCCCACCCTGGACTCCACTGGGAGGTCTCCAGACTGCCACCCCTGCCCTCAGAGGGGCCCAGGTCACGGGTGCCCTGGAGTGAGCCGGGGGGCTGAGGAGTTGAAAGGACCCGTGCTTAGGGTGATGGTGGGGTGAATGGGAAGACGCCCCCCCCCCCAACTCCCTGATCCGGGCCCACCTCAGTCCCCTTTCTCATTGCTCCCGGGTGAAAACAGTGAATCTGAACCTGGGGGGGGTGGGGGTGGGGGAGGCAGGGCAAGAGCCTTCCGTGGCTGCTGACAGCAGCGAGTCCTCCTCGGTGTGAGCTGTGAGCGGCTCCCTCTCACTCCCGCCCGCTATTACAGCCTTTCCCGGGGGCCGGAATCCAGGCCCAGAGCGGGCAGTTAACCAGCCGCAGGCCACACAGCACGGAGGAAGCCAGCCTGTGGGCGGGGCTGGCCTATCTCTGCAGCCCAGCTCCCTTGTGGGGCCAGTGACTCTGCCTCTCTCGGTTCCTTGGCTTCCTTTGAAGGTGATCGTAACCCGTCCTTCGCTGAGGGATTGTGCTGAGGGCTAACCGCCTTCCCCCCCTGCTCCCCCGCAGGGCCTGGAGGGGCGGACAGGAAGGTCCTCTTGTTGCTGTTGGCATTGCTGGGATTTGGCTCGCTGGGCCAACGTGGTTTGACAACAAAGCAGCGCTGGCTCCGTTGTTTTGACATTTTTTTCTCCGTGTTCCTAATCGTATCGAAGGAGAGCAGGGGTATCTGGGGGAGGTCACCCCAGGTCAGGAGGGCTGCCTAACGGGTTTGGGGTTTCCTTTCGGGGTGACGAAAGTGTTCCGGAGCCAGAGAGTTGTGGTTGCATAACGCGGTGAATGTACCGAATGTCTCTGAACTGCACACTTTAAAATGGTAAAAACCATTGATACGTTTTATGTTTCTGGGCATTTTACCACAATAAAAAAAAAAATGTAATGGAAAAATGGAGTGTGTCGAAATTTTTAAGGCAGTCTTGACAAAGGAATATAAAATGCTAGAGGCTTGATGTGCAACATAGGTGCACTGGGGGTGTCCTTCAGCCAGGCCTGCACCCTCTCGCAGTCCGGGAGCCCTTGGGGGATGTCCGACTGCCGGCTTAGGCCCGGGCGTGGGGAGTGGGCCTAATCTGGCAGTCGGACATCCTTAGTGCTTCCAAGGAGGTGAGAGAGGCTCCTGCCACCCCCACCGTGCTTGCCAGCCGTGAGCCTGGCTTCTGGCTGAGCAGTGTTCCCCCTGAGGGAGCCACTGACCACCAGGGCACAGCTTCTGCGTTGAGTATCTGCCCCCTGGTGGTCAGTGCACATAATAGCAACCAGTCATTCTGCTGTTGGGTTGATTTGCAAATTAGTTTCTTTTTCCATTTTTTTTTATTAGGGTATTATATGTGTACATATCTTTTTTTTAAAATTTCTTTTCTTTTTTTATATTTTATTGATTTTTCACAGAGAGGAAGAGAGAGGGATAGAGAGTTAGAAACATTGATGAGAGAAAAACACCGATCAGCTGCCTCTTGCACACCCCTACTAGGGATGTGCCCGCAACCCAAGGTACATTCCCTTGACTGTAATCGAACCCAGGACCTTTCAGCCCGCAGGCTGACGCTCTATCCACTAAGCCAAACCGGTTTAGGCATGGGTACATATCTTACCATTGCCCTCCCCCATTCCCATACATGCCCTAACCCCCCAGAGTTTTGCAAATTAGTTTTTTATTATACACTAGAGGCTCAATGCACGAAATTCATGCAAGAGCAGGCCTTCCTTCCCCCAGCTGCCAGCACCGGCTTCCCTCTGGCACCTGGACCTGGGCTTCCTCGAAGCCCCAGCTTCGTCCAGAAGAATGTCTGGTCTAATTAGCATATTATGCTTTTATTATTATAGATGATATTGAATTTCATAATAAAGTTGAATTGTACAAAAACAGGTGAAGAAAAGTGGGGTCCAGTCTTTGTCAGTGAACATGGCCCAGACTCAGTGGGGACTCACCCACAGGAGGCCCTGTGGGTGGAGGGGAAGGGTGGAGGGGCTGCAGAGGGCGGGAGCGGGGAGAGGGGCTGCCATCCAGGGGGCCACACCCTCCAGTCTCTGTGCTGCCCTGAAGATGGGTCAATGCTTTCCACCCGGCCTTAGGGTGGCCAGCGTGGCCCAGTGATTGAGCATCGACCTATTGAACCTGGAGGTCAAAGTTCAATTTCTGGTCAGGGCACATGTCCAGATTGCAGGTTCCAGCCCTAGTGTGGGGTGTGTGGGGGGCAGCCAATCAATGATTCTCATCATTGATGTTTCCATTTCTCTCTCCCTCTCCCTTCCTGTCTGAAATCAATTAAAATCCTATATAATAAAAGGCTAATATGCAAATAGACCAAATGGTGGAACAACCAACCAGTTGCTATGTTGTGTGCTGACCACCAGGGGGCATGCACAGAACACGGCAAGCATCGGCCACGGCAGGATGATGGAGCAGGTGAGTGGGGGTGCCAGGCCAAAGTGGGGCGCGTCGCTATCATCGGGGTGAGCCTCTGGTGGTTTCTGAAAATTCTTTGCTCCCGCTCGCTGTGGTCCTGAGCCTGACCCCAATCACCCCTCAGGGCTTCTCCTCCTCCCCCTGCTGCTGAGGGGTGATGGGGGCCAGCAACAGCCTCTTGTACCCACTGCCAATGCCAACCCTGCTCACACCTGCAGTTGGCACCAGATCTGCTGCTCACACCCACTGCCGACGCCCGGTGCTAGTCCCAATCGTGTGGCACCTGGCCCTGATCGCCCCTGAGGGCGTCTCACCTGCCCTGCTCCTGAGGAGCGATCAGGGCAGCAGCCACTGCTCTCACCTGCTGACGGCAGGCACTGAGTGATTGAGGCCAGTGCCATCTGCGTGTGAGAGTGGTGCCAGTGGGAGGGGGGCTGTGGGCAGACAGGGGCCTGGGGGTGTGGTGGGAGGGGCTGGGCAGGGGCACAGAGGATGGGCTGAGACCCGCCCCGGTGCCCACTGCAGCCTCGTGGCCCGGTTCCTTTTATGGTGCACGAATTTGTGCACTGGGCCCCTAGTGCATTTAATAAAAACGAAGGCCAGCCCATGCACGGGACCCGCAGCAGGCTGGCCTGAGGCGGGAGCTATTATCACGCCCAGCTGTCAGCTGCGGTGTCAGCTGCGGTTTCAGGGGAGGGGAGGAGGATGGAGTGTTGAAGCCAGTTTCCTGCTGGCTCTCACCACCGGCCTCACAACAGAGTCCGCACCATCCACCACCTCTGGCCTAGGTGTCCACACTGTCCGCCAGGTCAGGAGTTTCAAACAAACCCACCCCGGCCACCGCCGGCCTCGGGGGTGACTTGTCCCCCCGCTAGTGTCCTGGCCCCCCTGTCCGTGAGCCTCTGCTCGCTGCCAAGGTCCCGCCCGGAAGGTCCTGTCTGAGCGGACACTCCTCTGCTCCCAGGCTCCAGGGCTCCCACGGCCCGGAGGCCGAGGGTCAAGGGCCAACTCCCACTCACTCTGCGCAGCCACAGCGACAGCCGAGGTTCCCCCCGGGAGCCGGGACCTTCCGGCCGCCACCTCTGCTTATGAGCTCATCCTTCCTGGAAGAGTGTCCCTTTCTCCATCCGTGGAAAGCACCAGGCCCTTCGCGGTCCTGCTTAGACTCCTCCTCCTCTCGAAGACTCCATCACCGCTGCAGGCACGCTGGCCCTTTCGGGCTCTGGGGCGGCCCTCCTGCAGCTGCCTGGCCAGACACGTGCTCACTCAGCAGGCTCTCACAGAGGGCCGACTTTTCCCGGTGCAGTGACACACAGCCCGGCCCTGCCCAACTGGGGGACATCGGGGAGGGCTTCCGGGAGGGGGTGGCTGAGCGGAGACACGAGGCTTGGAAGACAGTGAGCCAAGGGGAAGGTTTCTGTTGTGACAGCTCTGACATTGGCCTTCCTTCTTTTTATTTATTTATTATTTTTTTTAAAAAAGTATATATATTTTAAAATATATTTTATTGGTATTTTACAGAGAGGAAGGGAGAGAGATAGAGAGCTAGAAATGTCGATGAGAGAGAAACATCGACCAGCTGCCTCCTGCACACCCCCTACTGGGGATGTGCCCACAACCACAGTACATGCCCTTGACCGGAATCGAACCTGGGACCCTTCAGTCCGCAGACCGACGCTCTACCACTGAGCCAAAC